CCCTAACCTATCAGCTTACACCTTTTGCTAAGATCTGATTGGCTACCCTACTGTTATAAAAGTGCTTGACCCTGCCCACGAGAGGCAGAAGAGACTAGATAGTTGAGGATGGTGGACCTTGTCAGGTCCATGTGCGCTGTACATAATAAAGTTTGAGAGCTGAACCAACTGCGACAGCGTCTTTATTAATAACGGCTTCCCACAATAAATAAAAGAAAAGAAAAACAAAATAGATGGAAAAAATGATGCTGTTCCAAAGCTCAAGATATACACATCTTATTTAGCCCATTTTATGGGTTGCAGGTAAATGTACCAGCCACACTTGAACTGCTTTTCAGACGGAGAGTTTGCACAGGAAGCCGACCTGGCTCAATGCAAAGGCCTAACCGCTTAACCATCTCGCCTTGTTGTTTTTCAAAGAGCTAAAGAGCAACATTTTGCTCCCAAGTGAAATACCAAGCAACAGTATACATAGGAACTAGCTGCAAAATGTAGTCTTTGAAAATGGCAGTAAAAATAACAGAATATGGTTCCATTCTCAATAAGAATAACATCAAGTTTGAATTAGTATGATCTTGCCTAAGAAAACTTACCTAATCAAATCCAAAGGCTGCTCCTTGTAAAAATAGGAAAACCGGGCCCAGTTCTTATGAAGAATGTGTCTTTCATTGACAGGATTGGGAGATTCTGACGGCTTCCAGTACTGGCCCTAAAATCATTCAAGGAGAGGAATACAAAGACAAAGCAAAAAAATAAAAGTGAAGTAAATGAACACTTTTTTTAAAGAGTACTAGAGGGCCAGAATAATCCTCTCTGTGGTGTTTATGTTTCATCATTCATTGATGTGAAATTATGGAGTGAAATCTATCAGTAACTATAATCATACTGATTTTTCAGTTTGTAACAATATCTAAAGGTTCAAGCTAAAGTTAGAGACTTTGCCTGTGCTCAAGTCCTCCCTTGGCCCAGCATGGCCCTTCTTCTCTACTGAAAGCTACACATGCTCATCTAAGCTCAGAGACTCACGTCACTATGGAGCTGGCTGGGACTCTAGACGTATACCAGCAATTTTATTGTACAGATACGAAAATTAAACCCCTAGCAAATTTAAGTAGCTGATATAAATCACACAGCTGCCACAGAGAGAAACATAACCACTTCCCAACAAACTCAAAATATTCCAGCACATTTTAGCACTTGAGAGCTTCAGTATTATTCTATAGTTCTTCGCTCATTGTTAGGTAATCAGTAGCTATATTCATACCCATTGATTATCTAATATGTAAGTACTTTACACAAAGTAGTTACTTTGTAGGTTCTTTTATTTTTGTGTTGACAAGTGAACTGATAAAGGTAACATTACCAATATCTGGTGTAAAGTGAGAAACTTTTATAATAAGGTATCTATCTGTCAATCAATC